ACTCCTCTCTCCAATGCGCCCCACATGCTCAGAGCGACCCACGTAGATAAAGGCGAGAGATAAGCCACCATTTACCCGCCATAACGCGGTTTGTGAGAATGAAATTAGTTGAAATTCAGTGATGATACCCACGTACACACTTAAGAAGTCAAGTCCGGGAAAAGTGCGCTTTCGACTATTCATCATCAGGCCTGGACAGTAACATAATAGTGGGTGGAGTAGCAAAAGCGAAACAGCCAATAACAGTCAGTATGGGGGAGAGGGTTGAGGGGTGTCCAGGGGTAATGGGTCCAGACTCTAGTTCTATCAGGAGCTTAGGAAGGGGAAGGGGGAAGGCGTCTGACAATTAGCTGTCCCCGTCTCAGCGCTGTAACGCGACGTGGCGGGTGTGAACAGATATGCTGGGTTTGGCTTTACCCAGGAAGAGCCTTAGCGCTTGTACATGCGTTTTATGCAAACACAAGGTCGGGTTAGCCAACCGTATGCCCACTGCCTGGGCCGTCGCAAGTATTCGCTGAAGCAGGAACTTGGAGTGTCTCGACGGCACTTTATAGATGGCTCGAAATGCCTGCTTGACGTCTACTCAGTGGCCGCTGTCAATTACGTCAGCCACAATTGCGCCAGAGGTAGACTTCTTTCCCACCTTGATTTAGCCAGGCAGGATGGTGCCTTCGCATCCGCCTAGATAGAAGACGCCTAGCTGTTCAACCAATATAACCTGCCCCACAGGAGCAAGTGAGGGCGCAGATGCACACTGAGGAGGTCTGAAAAGGCACACTATCCTTACCTTCAAGGCGAAGAAGCGGAGTGCTTGTGAAAATCAGTCGTATCTTAGCGGTTGGGTACGTGAGCGTGATAGCAGCGTTTAAGCGACGATGTAGGAGTTCGCTTGCCGGATCGCCTCGAAATGGGTGTGAGAAATAATTCCTTTTCAGCCGTCGAGACATCAGATTTTGGAGGGCATTCCTCCATGTTTGTTGATAAACTCTTCAGGGCAGCCGTTTTCTCTCAGTGTTTTGTATAATGGCAAGTTCATTCTCAAGCCTATCTGGAGTGCATATCCTCTTAGGTTGGTTGGTGAGGCAGCAGACCAAGCCTCGTTTCTGGCTTAGCGGTATAAAACTATAGAAATTTGAGTATTGTCCTGTCCATGTTTTTGCGAAATTAGTTTAGAGAAAACAGCCGAAATGTGGATGAGGAAGTACTAGTTAGATCTAAAGTCAAAGGTCGCTACCTGCATTGCCCAAATGATGTACGAGTTAAACCATGATGCAGTAGATTAGCTGATAAAAGACGAAACCCGATGGTACGCAAGGCGTCCAACTGTTCAGCCCGGCAGAAAGTGTCGTTCCGATAAGGGCTGATCGGGTGCCCATGACTCAACTGCAGCCGACGTTGGTGCTTTACGTTGGACACAGCGATCTGTCTGCCTTATAAAGCGACCTATGTACAGTTCAGTCACGAAGGCTTGGCAGCTACTCAGAACGCCAGGTCACAAATACACTCCGGTCCGGTAAACGCTCTTCCTTAGAAAAGGGCAGACAACCGGACTGCCGCTAAAACTTGGAGTAACAACAGTGACTGGACATTTAAATCGTCTGCACAAGCAAAACAATAAACTTGAGAACCGAGGGCCAGGATATATGCCGGTGGACTTCTTGAATCCTTAAGTGACTGCATTTTGGTGGGTGGTGGAAAACAAAACCGGAACTACCAGTGTACATATCAGGGCTTGCAAGTCCGTACGGGAGTACTTTGCTGGAGACACTACAAAGAGGTGACCAAGGCTTTGACACTGCCGCTGCAGTCATGGGGATTAGAGGCCAATTAAATGCAAGGGAGCAATTTAGTCATATATACAAGACTTCGTATCGCAAATGCGCCTGCGCTTACGCAGACCAGGTGACAGTTCGACCTTCGATTCCGACGATGTCCACCGTGTGCTACACACCAAGGTACGGCAGGAACAGTAACTTGCGCGTGAATTAGTTTATAGTGAGCGCAGACCTGCGCAGCATCTATCGCACTCACATTTCCCCACTCCCCACCTGGTTTGGTGTCAAGACAGAGTTGAGAAAACCGGAGGCGGGGGAGGGCGCATGTGTCTGGCACGACCGGACCCGCACTTACGCGTGCCCCCACACGCCGTGGTCCACAACATACACTTGATCAACAGGGGTCAGAAGTACGAAGATGACTAAGCAGCCATGCCCACCACCTGTATGCCCAGCGGGAGCGCAAGCGCATCTATCGGCAGGGAATCAGGTGTCAGGGAACTGCCAGCACATACCGGGCTGCGAGGACCATGGTTTGCTGATACTGGCATAGCACACGCTGTCAGTTTTTTCAATCTAGAAGGGCCATACGTGTTCCTGCATTTAGCCTGGGTCCTCACTCTCCAAGGTTGGGTAACCAAACAGTCGTCGACTGAGAGGCACTACCCATAAAGCACACGCATTCCTCACATACATAAGTGTCACAGATTGCTTGAGAAGAGGCCGTGACAGCCTGGCTCTCAGCCCACCAGTCCGCCACTCCACACAACGGGGCAGACTGCGTGGACTTAGTTGGGGCGTCAATCGGTCGCCTTCCGAGCCACGGCGCTCGACGTACCGTCTTCGTCTCAGACTGCGATCACACATGCGGCCGAGGAGCCAGCCGCATGGAGGAGCCGAGACGCACACTTTTCACTTGCGTGGGAGGTGGTAGTTAGGTGCTTGAGGTGGGTGATGCTGATGTGCGGTGGGGTGCTTTAAAGGAAGGATGTGATGGTGTGGTGAAGCCGGCGGTTGTCTACTGCAGGTTTTCGCGGACG